CTCTGTCTCTGCATCTCTACATCTGTCTCTCTACATCTCTGTCTCTGCATCTCTCTCTGTATCTCTGCATCTCTACATCTCTCTCTGTCTCTCATCTCTGCATCTCTGTGTCTCTGTCTCTCTGCATCTGTCTCTGCGTCTCTACATCTCTGTCTCTCTCTGTCTCTACATCTCTGTCTCTCTCCATCTCTACATCTGTCTCTCTGTCTCTCTGTCTCTACATCTCTCTCTCTGTCTCTCTCTACATCTGTCTCTCTCCATCTGTCTGTGTCTCTACATCTGTCTGTCTCTGTCTCTACGTCTCTCTCATCTCTACATCTCTCTGTCTCCATCTCTACATCTCTACGTCTCTGCATCTCTGTCTCTACATCTCTCTCTCTGCATCTGTCTCTCTACGTCTCTGCCTGCATCTGTGTCTGTCTCTCCATCTTTCTACATTTGTCTCTGTCTCTCTACATCTCTCTCTCTACATCTCTCTACATCTGGATCTGTATCTCTACATCTCTCTCTCTGTCTCTCTACATCTCTCTGTCTCTCTGCATCTGTGTCTACATCTCTACATCTCTCTCTACATCTGTCTTTCTACATCTGTCTCTGTCTCTACATCTCTCTACATCTGTCTGTCTCTCTCCATCTGTCTCTACGTCTCTGTCTCTACATCTCTTTCTGTCTCTCTACATCTGTCTCTGTCTCTCTGCCTCTCTACATCTGTCTCGCTACATCTCTCTGCATCTCTACATCTCTCCATCTGTCTCTGTCTCATCTCTCTCTGTCTCTCCATCTCTGTATCTGTCTCTGTCTCTCTACATCTGTCTGTCTCTCTCCATATCTTTGTCTCTGCATCTGTCTCTGCATCTCTGTCTCTGCATCTGCATCTCTCTCTCTCTACATCTCTCTCTCTGTCTCTACATCTGTCTGTGTCTCTACATCTCTCCATCTCTGTCTGTCTGTCTCTCTGCATCTCTACATCTGTCTCTGTCTCTCTCCATCTCTCCATCTCTACATTTCTGCATCTGTCTCTGTCTCCATCTTCCATCTCTACATCTGTCTCTGTGTCTCTACATCTCTCTACATTTCTACATGTGTCTCTGTCTCTCTACATCTGTCTCTCCACATCTCTCTGTCTCTCCACATCTCTCTCTATATCTCTCTGCATCTCTACATCTCTCTCTCTGCGTGTCTGTCTCTGTATCTCTCTCTCTCTGCCTCTCTCTACATCTGTCCCTGTGTCTGTGTCTGTCTCTCCATCTCCATCTCTCTCTCTCTCTGCCTCTCTACACCTCTCTGTCCGTCTCTCTACATCTCTACATCTCTCTCTCTGCATCTGTGTGTCTCTACATCTGTCTGTCTCTCTCCATCTCTCTCTCTGTAGAGAGAGGTAGAGAGATAGATAAAGAGACATGTAGCAAGAGAGAGAGAAATATGACCTACCAATTTGTATTTCAGGAGCCATTGACATTCGGGGATGTG